TCTTTTGTGAGACCGGTCCCCCCCCCCCCCCCCCACGCCGCCATGTGAAAGGATGCTGCAATATCACTGAGGGTTAGTGACAAAAGGAAGAGCATTGAAAAGAGGTTCATAGAGATCTCCAGTATTTGGGGCATTCATTTAGAAACAAAGCAGGTGGAGCTGGAGTGACAAAAGACTTACTCTGTTTCCCAGTCAATTTAAATAGACTTTTCTGCTACTAACACTGCCAGAAGTTTAGTCTCTTTCTACAGCATCCATAACTATTGTGGATTTGTAAATGAATTCCTTTAAAGAAGAATTCATGTGGTGCTCTCGAGCACTTGAAGGGCCAATTAGGAAGAGAGAAATAGTCAGGAAACTTTTGTAAAGATGTTAATTGTGTTGAGTGACTCACTATCACTTTTTTCAGCTGTCTTAAAACTTCTGTAGCTACCCTTCTTTTAAATGAGATCCAATGTTAGGAATGCCTCATACAATTTTGACACACAAACACCCACCAGGCAATAGGAGAATAATAACATAAAAATCCCAGTTATGCCAGTGCTTCAGGCTAGTTGTTAGAAGAGTATTGAGGGTAGAAAACTCTCTGAACACAGCTGGGTGGGGGGCAGCTATCTTTTTGTGAAATGCCCTCGAAAACCAGGAAATGATATATTTGGCTGGTAACAGAATATTAAGTTACCACTATTTTAAAACAAAATACTTGATAATGAATGCTCACGTTCTAAGGCTTCACTTCATATTATAATATTGGTGATATTAAAAAGAGGTGCTTAGCCCTGGGGCTTGCTTTGGGATCTCAGTAGTACTAGTAGCATCAGCTGAGTGCTGCAGGTACAAGCAACAGAGCATTTTCCTAGGCTCTGGGGTCCCCTCTCCTGTCCTTCAGATTTTTCTGCACAGCCAAACTCAGCTGCTTGCTGTCACCAGCCCTGCTCCAGCAGCAGAGCCAGCCTCTGAGCTGCAACTGCGTAAAAGTTTTGAACCCCAAAGATGGAGAGGGAATATTTACTTAGGCCTTTAGTAGTCTGCTACTGCCCACCAGGCAGCACAGTGGTGGTGTTTGATGCGTACCTCAGCAGCTGATGCTAAGCAGAGCTCTCTGCAACACATGGCAATAAATTGCCATCCCCTTCACACCCACAGCTCTCCTTGCATGCAGGAGAGAGATCAAAACCTCCAGAGTTGCTTCATTCTCCTCTTCCAAACCACTCCTGTAAGCCCTGGCAGTGGCTGGGCCAGCATCTGTGGAATTGGGCCAGGCATACCAGAATTGCCAGTTTTGCCTTGTTGTGTGGTTCATTGTCTCCCCTCGCTTGTCTCTTATCCTGCACTTTGACTCTTTATTTAACAGGGCAAGGTCAAGTGCACAGTGGGGCCTGTCTGTGAGCCATATTGCCACAACACCACAATAGTGATGGCAACGGGAAAATATTTTTAAAAGCAAACGCAGTACTCTTGAAAGTGTTTTCAACTCTTCTGCATAGTATGAGGCAATGACTCAGTGGCTTCAGTACTGAGCCTGTTGCTGTTGTACGGCAGTGGGTTAGAAAGCAGCTTGTATTTGACAACAATAGTATACATGTTGGTTTTTTTCATTCCTCTCTTCAGAGCTGAAAGTCCCTGTTGAAACCAGATTAAAAATAATGAGCTGTTGGGAAGAGTCAGGGAGAGTCTAGAGACAGTAAGAAATGCCACAAAACATAGTCTATTAAAATGCTTTTTACTTAGAAGCAGAAGGTAGATTAAAAATACCTTCTCCCGCCTAAAACCCACACCGTTGAAACAACCTTTCCCAGGAGCTGGAAAGGAAAACTATGGAGAAATAAGAAGGGTGGGAGGATGTTAGTGTGTGTCCTTGCTTTGAAACAGCCATTAGATCCTGATATATCATTTCTTTTTAATTTCTAAACATCAGAGCCCCATAATTCAGGCATTACTGGAGGCAGATCCCAAGCGAGTAAAATTTTTGAAGTAATCAGTCTACACAATCTGAAACCCTTTGGTAAGGGCTTGATCAGAAATCCTAACCAACTATCCACCTAATTTTCATTTTTCCTCTTCCTTCTCTTTTCACTGCCAAATGAAAAGCAAGCGGAAAACCCTCCAGTGTGGCAATGATTAAACTTGCTAGGACAGACTCATAAGCCTGAGCAAGGTCATGTCTCTTCTGTGATGCAAATAAACTTCTGTACATCAAAGCTCCACGTTCTTCTAATCCTTTAAGAAAATGTTGAATTTAGCTTCAGGACCAGCTGGCTTTCTTCAGTTAACAGGATTCTCAATTTTTGTACATTCGTACATATTAGACTGAATTCTGCTCTCAGTAGCTCACTCAGCAGAGGCAACTGGTGACACACTTTAACCAGACAACCATTTTTTTCTTTTAATGGAGCTAAGGGGATTACGAACAGTAACAGTGAGATACTGTAGGGCAGACAGCATGTTAACGCAGGGTTTAGTACAATTGTTGGAGACTTAGGAGAGGCCCACAGCAGGAACAGAGTCCACAGGGAGTGCTTTGGGCCCCAGGTAGGGGAATATGTTTGCCTAGATATATGTCCATCTCATCAGCTGTGCCATAATCACCCTACGTGGTATGGAGAAGGCAACAGCAGGTCACATCTGACCAGTATTCAGGATGCTCTGCGTTGAAGTGGTATCTCAGATGGTATGGCTGGATGAAGGGGGGAGAGGACATCAGTTCACTTCTGTATGTGAATCTTTTACTCTTCTCTCTCCGTGTCTCCTAAACTTTCTCTCTTCCTCACATGATTTGCTCTTCACAGTGAGTTCTTCTTCCTTCCTTCCCTATGCAGGGATAGAGAGTTACAGAAATCTAAGACAAGATGGGTGTGGGGTAATTTCAGTCTATTGCCAAATGCTGTCCGGAAGGCCTGACAGTAGCCAGAACAATCAGGTCAAATGAGAAGGTGTCTCATAGGAAAGCTTAGGGGACCAGAGAGGGGAGAGGGGCCGGAGAAGGTTAGAAAGTCTCTGAGACACAGGTGTTGCCTCCATTTTAATAAAGGGAAGAATTTTCTCATTCTTACCATGGTGTCACTTTTCCTGGTTTTGCTTTGCTGGAAATACATCCAGAGCAGAGGGACAAAGATTTCAGGTGCACTGCTTAAAGTGGCTGTTCTTGGAAATGTTGCTGGTCTGGCTGCAGCTGTATGACTCCTAGGTTCTCTTCCAGAGCTCTCGTTCCGAGTTTGGATGTGTGGTGGCAGCTTGGAGATCGTTCCCTGCAGTCGAGTGGGACATGTGTTCAGGAAGCGCCATCCCTATGACTTTCCTGAGGGCAATGCATTAACTTATATCAAGTAAGTGTTGAGGAGTTCTTGGTGGCAGCCAGATCACCTCAACATTGGGTGTATCTAAATAAGCCTCAATTCTTTGTTGTCTTTCTGCCTGATGACAGAGGAGAATGGACTGTGGCTGAACATTCATTCTGCAAAGGAAGAATGAGTTGCTGGGGTCTGTGCACAAAGCCTATCCCCTTCTTTGTTGTTTGTGCTACTGTGTTTCTTCTTCTTCAATGTGCAGTGGAGGCGGGGAGTAGTGCTCTAAGGAGAGCCTCTGGCTGTTTGTGGGTACCGCCTATGATATGTGCCTGGGTATCAGTAGTTCTTAGTCATCTCTGGCGTCCTTGAGTTGTTTTTGTGTCCAGAGATCCTTGGAGCCGCATGTGCTCTGAGAGGAGCTAAGAGGACAATTTCCATCACAGGACAGAGGGGAAGAGAAAGATAAGAGAAGATGCTTTACGACGAGAATGCTTAAGCTCTGGCATAGAGCCTCAGAGAGGGTGTGAAATCTTTATCCTTGGAACAGCTGAACGGGACAAGGCCCTGAGCAACATGACCTAACCTGAAGCTAGCCCTGCTTTGAGCAGGAGGTTGGACTAGGTGATACCTAGAGGTCCCTTCTGACTTGAAATGTTCTATGACAATATTCTAAGCTAGAGAACCTCTGCACTTAGGGGAAGGGGAGACTGCAAAGCAGGATGATAGTTGGGACAGTCAGTTAACAAGTCTGTGACAACCAGTACAGCTGTCTCTCCAGAGGGGGCGTGTGTGAAAGGAATCACAGTGAACTATGGCTGTTTTTTAACTTCTGAACTGGAGCATCCTAACCAGATTTATTCACTTAACATATTCACTCGGAAGTGTGCTATACTGTCTACTGTGTTTCATGTTCAGGACTGTCCCCTACTCCCTCCTGGCAGGCAGGTCTTGGATCTGCTCACCTACTGCCTGCTTGCCAAGAGGGCAGCTTCTGCAGCAGCAGGCAGCAAAGCGTCTCCTCATCCCCATGCAGGAATACCAAGCGGACAGCAGAAGTGTGGATGGATGAATACAAGCAGTACTATTATGAGGCCCGGCCATCTGCTATTGGCAAGTCGTTTGGAAGGTAAGCTGCCCCTGAACCTCAATAGGCCTCTGATAATCAGCTTGTTAGCTAGAAATAGCTTTTGGATCTTCTCTGGAAGTAAGTGTTGGGAAGTGAAGAAAAGATGTTTTAAATGGGTTGCCCTGAAAGTTGCAGCTTGAGTGGCTGGCTAACAAGGTTTTCTTCTAATTCACTTATTTTTCCCCCAGTAACCCATGTAAATCACTTGTTAACAGAAGGATGTAGGGATCTGAAACGAAATTAAAAGGCCACCCATTTTAGGTGGATAGATGAGAATTTTATTCTAACACAGCATGTAACTGCTCTGGAAGTCTGAGCTGTACAGTTACTAGCTCTTGATTCGAAGTTCTTGTGTGAATGCAGAATCTGGGGCTAAGTGAGACTAGCTGGCACAGGGGGCTGGTTCTCACCCAGTGTGCTCCCCTCTCCCCTGATGGATGAACTGGGTGGCTTACCTGCTTTGTAGGGCAGGAGAGAGAGCGAGCAAAGATGAGATATGCTGAAACACAATCAATAGTGACTGGCCTCCAGCACCTGCTGACCCCACTTCTTCTGTGCAGAGCTGTGCTCCTCATAGCGCCTTTGCTAAAGCTGTCTCCAGACTACATGGAACTGGTTGTCGTGGGTTTAAGAATACTGTGTGGCCCAGAAATCAGTGATGAGCACCAACAACTGGGACAAGGGGATAGGTTGCTCTCTGTCCTAGCAAACTCCTATGATAGCCCCCCAAAAATGTAAAAAACCCTAAGAGTGTGGTCTTTCTGTGTGTAATACCTGTCTGTGAACAAGAAACAACTATTGCTGTATTAGCCTAAGGACTTGGCAAACATGATTGTGTCTCAAATGTGTAGTAGCCATCTGCACTGTAGAATGATGCATCTCCTGCTTGTGTAGTGACAGGCAGGTTTGGCTGGACTCCCACATACTCTTGGTTGTACTTCCTGCTTTATTGTCATGATGCATTAACTATTTTTATACAAATAACTTTACCTACCTAGTTTATCTGTCTTTGAGATTACCGCAGCAGCTGAGCCTGGGCCAAACAGCAAGTAGCCTGACTGTTTGTGAAGGAAGCCTATCTATTACATATCAGACATGGTTATATTGCTAATGTATTTTAGAGCCAAACCGTGCAGTCTTGTTCATGTAGACTTCCTAGGGGTTTTACTGGCAGCTTTGGCTGAATAAGGGCTGGGGCAGAGCTGTAGGATTTGATTTTAGGCAATTTCTTCAATTGGCCCTGTGATGTAATGGCCCTGTGAACCCGCATTAAATCTAAGTTTAGAATGTAAATGCTTCTGGCACCATCACAGTCACCTGGGCCAAAAATGGAACTTCCTTCCCTATGGTTTCTATGTGAATGCTTGGTCTAGGCACTTTCTCCTAAGCTATGGGTAGTACAGTGGCTTCTGGATGGCTGGCCATGGCAAAGGGGCATGGGTACAGCTGAAAGTCATTCCCAACAGATATGTAGGGGCATAGTTTGAAGAGGAGAGTCCCTAGTGTCACAGCTTAGTAGGACTGTTTGAGGGAAATCCTCTTCTTTTGCCAGCTAAAGCCAACTAAATCAGCAGTGAGAGGGCTGTTGCAGCAGATGCTCACTGGGGTGCTGAGTAAATTTCCCACCATGCTTCCCTCTTCTCCCTGAATAGTTTAAAACCAAGTCATTGTGCTTTTTAGGTTCTCGACCCAACCTGAGCCTAGGGCTGCTCTCTTGTCTGCCCCACCTCCAGCACACACAGTTTCACCATTTTATATACCTGAGCCTTTTCAGGAGCTGATGGTTGTGCAATTTTCATGAAATGTCTCTACAGGGGCACCCAGAGGCAGAAACACTTTCTGGGTCCTCCAATAGCTTTACTGCTCTGCATTATTTAACCCCGTAGGTCCTGAACACTGCTGCCTCTCTCAGTCAAAGGAAATGCAGGAACTGCTCTCTGAAGGTGCCTTTTCTTCCTTTCCATTTCCTGCCATTTGCCTCTCCTCTTTTTCAGCTCAAATCACTGATATTGTTCTCATCCTAGGACCAATTAGGTGGGAGAATGAGTAAAGGTGAAATTTCGTATAAGCTCCCTCTAACCTGCTGGCCAGTCTTCATTGCTCCCCTCCCTGCCGTTCACTATCTTATCCTGAACAACCTGCATGTTTTTCCAGCATTGCAGAGCGAGTGGAGCAGCGCCGCAAACTGAACTGTAAATCCTTTCAGTGGTATCTGGAGAACGTCTATCCAGAACTCAAGTGAGTCAGTTCTCAGCTCGTAGAAATCTCTGACGGATCTGGGAGGTGGGTAATAACAAGAAGTTGAGTCTTCATGGCAGCAGGCAAGGGAGGGGCTCATGCCTGGAAAAAGTTTTCCTTATTTTCCTTCTTTTGGTGAGAAACCTTGTGACATTTCCTGATTTGTATCATCACAACAACTTTGCACAAAACCTGTTACTCTTTCCTCTGGGAGCTCTCTGTTCTACCCCGTAGAGCTATCCCTTAGGGATGTGCAGCAGTGATGTTTTCTGACGACTGTGTGTGCATAGACAAGCACAGGAGCATTACATCCCTCCCAGTTAAGGCTCGGTCTCTGACTGTTGTTGAATGCTCTCCCTGGAGGCAGCTGAGCTGAGTGTTGCTGGGCTGCCTCAGTGCAGAGGTGCAAGTGGTTCAGAGAAAGCCCTGGTGACTGCCAGCAACAGCTTTGTGCATGACTTCCTCTTCCCTGGGTCAAGATGAGGTAGTACTGTGACACTGCCCTCCTGGTAGGTAGCTGGGGCCTAACACACCCTGGCAATGCATCTCAACTCCCAGTCAACAAAGTATACAGCTAATGTGGGTTAAGGCTAAAACATCTGGTTGGAGACTGGCCTTGATAAGTCCTTCCTGTATTGCGACCAAAGTGACAGTGAACGTGTACTAGCACCAGGGGGAAGAGTCTGAAAAAGGGGGAGGCAGGGACAGGATAGATCAGTGTGGATATTGCTTTTTACTGACACTAATCTCTTTTAGAGGTGACATAACACTGAAGCCCTGACTGCTTGCGGAGCACCTAAGGATCATTTAATGCCTTCTGAAACAAAAGGATACCATCCCTCTGACCAAATTTTCCCTTGACTTCTGCCTCCCTCAGACATTTGCAGTGGATAGGATATCTTTCATTTTCTGTCAAAGCAAAGGCAACTGCATTTCAGTCATGGGCCTGTTTTGCCCTATCAATATGTAAGTGCTTTGGTACATTTTGGGGTATGAAATGCCGTGCAACTGTGTTTTACTTCAAGGGTTCCTGAAAAGGAGACGATTCCAGGGATAATTAAACAAGGAGGAAATTGCCTGGAGTCTCGGGCACAGGATACGACAGGGAACATGTTGGCTGACATGGGAAACTGTAAAGGGATAGTGAATAATCCACCTGTCACTCAGGTAAGATGGGCTTCAGTTTGGTTCTTTGCTCTTGCTTCTACCCTTTTTACTACCAATGACTGAGAAGACCTCGGTAGGTTTGTATAGAGGTGAATGAGGGAAGAATTTGGCTTGTCAATGGTTTAAATAGCAAGCAGAAAAAGGAAGCTATACCCGTCTCAAAGCTCTGTTGGCTGAACAGACCGAACAGTCAGACATAGGTTGGGAAGGTCTTTGTTACTCAGAGGCAGCAGATAATGCTTGAACGCTCAAAGGTGTGACTAGTCTGTGCAGCAAGTGCATGACGAGCGTTTGAGTCATGTAACTATCCCACTTGGACCTTTGCTTGGGTGTGCTGTGCTTCATCTCCAGCCCATGGGGCTATGACTCCTTCCCATGAAAACCAGTCCCGGGTTGTGCCTGGCTAGTACCCCAGCATGCAGGCAGAAGATTCCCACAGGGTCAGAAATATTTCTTGGTCTACTAGTTTGGCTGTAGCTGCAGATGGCTTGAGCCAAGACCCCAGCTGCAGGAATTTGGCAACCTTTTCTAACTGCAGCGGAGCTGAACTGGTTTATACCGGTTGAGGATCTGCACCAGTCTCCTCTTTTGGTAGTCACAATGCAGCAGGGAAGTAGCTTCAAAAGTTAAGTGTCACAGTAAGATATTTTATGCCAGAAAATACATATTCACATCTGTTAACTGTTGGAAACAAGTTTGCAGCCAGCATTCAACATGCTATTTAATCTGACTCATTGTTTCATGTCAATTACAATTTGAAATCTCTGAAACTTATTGCACTTTGGGTTTAAACCTTGGGGAAAGTACAATAACAGTTGACTGGGTTGGGCATCCATCTAGTGTGAAGAGGGGAAAATGAAATGGGTTGTGCTTTGTGTGTGCTGGTGATATTTGTTAGGTCATGGAGATGGTTGCATGCGTTTTGCTTTCCTTGATGAGCAATCTATAGGTCCCTGTTACCTGTTACAGAACACGTCTGTTGTTGAAACATGCAGAAGCAATTACACAACATGTAAATCAGGGGTCAGTGTCCTCCCTGTTATCTGGCCTGATCCTTTAAAACTGCAGCGCAAGTTGCTACATGGGATCCCAGGATAACCAGGCTGCTCAAGCGGTCAGGACAGCCAGCTGCATGTTTTGAAATAGTCATAATGCACCAAGCCTGAGCATAAACTTCTGATTAGGTGAAAACTCCTGGCACAGTCCAAAGGCTTCCCAGGGAGCCTTTGATAAGAATTGAACAAGGAATCCCGGGTTTGGAGACATCTGATAAAAAAGCTGTTCTCTCCTCTATTTATCACCATTATCATCATAAGAAGATGACCTTTCTTTTTCTTGTGTCAAAGGAGTGGATATTCAATGACCCACTAATTAGGCAGCAGGACAAGTGTCTTTCCATTACCACCTTCTCTACTGGCTCTCAAATCACACTGGAAACCTGCAATCAGAAAGATGGCAGACAGGTAACTTGTGTTCCTTTCTTAATCCCTTCATTGCCACATGCTGGCATTCCTATATTAGTGCAGCCTGCAGGGAAAAACTCAGCACTATCAATGTGTATACAAGTTCCTTCCGTCTTCTGCATCTCCCTCTCTGAGGTGTTTCATAAGCTTGGGTGTATGAGAATGCACGTGACCAAAAGGGGAGTGCAGCCCCCACTGCTGTGTGGGTACCTGCTCTGCCTCTGCCTTCATCAGGGTGGTTCGTTCCAGTCCAGTGCCACCCTGTCCTGGCTCCTTGGGTAAATTTATGTTCAGCCAGGTCTGTGCATGAACGGAGCAGGGTACCTGGCTGGGTAGATAAGCAGCAAATGCTTTGAGATACCTGAGAGAAGTGCTGTATTCCATCATTTGTTTACTTATTTAGAAGTGAGAGAACTGTTGTTTGTGCTGTCTTTGGGCGTGTGAACAGACCTTTGAAGTTGAGTGCATGCAACTCATTTGAGAAATATCAGCTGGCATAAAGCACCATATGTTCCACGCAGACTGCTCCCTGAGGAAAAATATACAGCAGCAGTACTGGCTTTGCAATATTCCCAACAAAATGCAGCTCTGTGAATCTCATCCTGCTTCTAAGACATACATCCCTGGTCTGTGAGGACACCCAAGTCATTTTGTCTTACAGCACGAAGTAAGAGATGGCCTCTGAGATGACCAGGGTTCCCTCACAGATACATGATGTGCCTTTTTATCAGATCTGGCCAAAACACAATGGTGACAAGTCAGCATTGGCAGACAGCAAATGGACTGGGCTTGTTTCATCCACGCCTCCTGTGCTTCCCTCTACACCAAGAGAGAACAAACTTTGTGTCATCTAGGGCTCTGCTGGCATGTTTTGCAGTGCATCTATTGCTTTGATTGCCCACAGGTAGAAGACTGCTCAGCTTGCTAACAGTCCTCAACAGCACCCACTTTTATCAGTACTTTTTAATGCCGTATGACTATCTGAATTTTGTTCTTCCTGAAAGAAAGCACTTCAAAAAAGCACTGAAATCCAGTCTTGCCCGTTTATGGAAAGCCTGTGTAGACCTTTCTCTGGAGGGCCGATTAATGCAGAAGTCTCTTGAAAAGCTGTCACCATGAATACACTGGGAAAACTCTTAGTTCAGATTAGCCTTGCAACAATATCCTGGGTGGGCTGTGCTTGCCTGCTCCTTTTTCTTGATGGTAATCACTTACCTCCTTGCTGTGTAATTAGGTCCCTTAGCTTTTCCCTAGGTGGCTTGCACTATTTTCCTCCGTGGCAGCAAAGAGGACTCTGGCAGCTGCCAAAATCAGCTGTCTTTCCCCTCCTGCCCTGCCATGGAAGGACAAAGGTCCCCTGAAGGAGGGTGGAGTGCAGGCTCTATTAGCCAGAAGAGTTTAATCCTCACTAAGTCATGCAGGTTCATTTTGCTGCTGGAATAGGATTTACTTGAGCCTTGATGTGTTGAATATATACAGGCTCATTATAAAGACGCATACATACGTACACACATACACACACTTAAAATTTGGAGCCAGCCTAAGAGGGATGAGAGTTGTTGTTTTCCATTACTTTATATGAACAAACTGGACTTAAATCAAGGACTTGACCTAGCAGATGATTTAGCCAACTGCCTATAAACAAGGATTTTGTTTAAGCATTTCAAATAATTAGAGAGTGATCTAAATCACAGCTGCCATTCCAAACCACCTTGTGCCTTGTGGAGGTGAGGGAGAAGAGGTGGGTTTGAATTTTTAATCTAATTTGAGTTGACATGCTCTGAAATGTTGGGGATATTTCTGAGGGTCTCAAATGCCCATTTCAGATTTCTACCCATGAAGCCACTTCCACTTGCAATGCCCGAATTTGTTGTCTTCCTGGGGAGTGTTCTTCTGGTCTCTTCCTTCTGTAACCAGATCAGTACTTGTTGTTAATGCTGACATGGGTTTTTAACTAGCTGTAACACAGTTATCTTTACAAACTGCCCCATTTTCTCTCATCTGTTCCTCTTCCAGAGGAACCACCTGCCTCTAAGGCAATGTATTCCATTCATTTTAGGAACTGACACTTTCTTTGCCAGCTCCTAGCTACAGTGGGAACTGAAGCTAACAGCTTTTATAGGGGTCATCTGAGAGTGCATGTCTGGGCTGACAAGGCAGGTTTCTGGAAACGAAGAGAAAAGACAGAGGGAGAGTCTAGTTCTCCCTAGGTTGCCAGCTTGCAGAACTCCCTACTTGGGATGCCACCCTAGCCCAGCTCCTAGTCTTTAAAAAGCTGAGCTTCCAGGTGTCAGCCATTGCTGGCAAAGCTTCAAAATGCTAAATGAAAGAGTAAAGCAGGAGATAATTTCCTCAGTTGCTCTACAGCATTCCTGTCTCCTCGTGGTGCTCACAGCCCGAGAGGTGGTTTGTCAGGGAGAGAACAGTGTTTTGAAACTATGCATGGGAGCAGCCATTTCTCAGTTCAAGTGGGCTTCTTAGAAAGCTGTGAAAATTTTTACTAAAGAGGGAATTCAGAGGGGCTGAGAGGGAGTGGAAGAAGGAAAGCTGAGCTACCCCAGAAAGGTGGAGGTGGCAACAGAAAGCTCTGAGCGGGCAGTGTGAGCAGAAAGGGGTGAGCCCGGCCAATGTGCACCACACATGCGATGTTCTAGGAGAAGATGGTGGTTTGATGAAAACCCTGCTTTGAGTATCTTCTCTGATACCGTTGCTGTCAGAGGTCTGTGGTGAATGAGGTGGGAAGATGTTTGGACTTCATGTCTATGGCTGAGTGATACAAAGGCAAGATTTCTGGCAGAAAATGGCAAGTGATGGCTTCATTTTGTAGTCCCACTGCAGTAGACTGGTTACATGCTTACAGTGGCACCATACAGCTCTTGAAGTTGCTTTCTCCTTTCAAACGTACTGAATCTTTGCCCATGATACGCAGCTGTTGTGCATTAAGCCTGTCCACAGAGCAGGGGATTTTTGCTATTGTTTCTGAGTGCTAACAACAACTTTGTGTCTATCTATCTGACATGTAGTCAATACTCTAGAGGAGGCTTTATAGCATTATGAACTATATCTAGAGTATTACCTCAAAATAAGTCTAGATTCCTGCAGACAGGAGGATACTAAAGAATGGTCCCAATCCAGGTGATTTTTGGCTCCATCAGGCTATTCCTCCTCGGGCTGAAAAGAACCAGGAACAAAACGTATTTGTTACCATGATCCCGTTCCTCATCAACAGCAACAGCTGGCACCACTAGGAGAAAAACAGCCAAGAGCTATTCTGCACAATCAAACTACATTTGAAACCAGATGGATGTTATCCATAATGTTATTTGAATAATAGCATTTTTACTTGAACACATAATAAATTATTGCCTTTAGTTGGAGTTTTGGCTCTGACTGACGGTGGGAGTGGCATTTTAATTTGTGTTACAGTGAGGAAAAATAGAAGGCAAAGTGAGAGTCAGACACTAAAACAAGAGCATAAAAATGAGAAACATTGGCACAACGTTTCCCAACAGATCAGAAGCATGCTGAGAAATCCTATTAAACAAGCATATTTCATTAAAATCTGCTGAAGGAATGTGACCTTAGTCTGAAAATGAGGACACTAGATTTTCTTGTGAGACAAACAGGATTTGAAATCCTGTATACCTCTGGATTGGAAAATTTTCCTCACCTTGCTTCTCAGTGTCTCATATTACCTGAGAAGCAGACAATTTCAACTTTATACAGATTCTCAGAAAAGAGACGGAGTGAAAACCTGTCTGTTCTGGAAGCACTGGAGTCAACATCTTCATGGTAATAAGGTGATAAAAAGGTCCTTGCGTTATGCCACTGCTTGAAAGCAATTTTCAAGAGACCAGAGTTTTTCTCAGCTCTGATTCCTAGCTTTACAAATGCAGAGCTCAAAGGGAGATAGCAGTTGCTGAATGTTGGTGCGAGCTTTTCCATCACACGCTCTTTACTCATGTATTTGAAATTTTGCATGTATCATCTTCAACACCAGCTTCAGGCTGCTCATGGCTGTGCAAATGCATTCAAATATGATCTGCAACGCCCTTGGCTATTCCAGTTATCTGTTCTCCATACAACTCTGTGCAAGGTGTCTCAATCATAATTAATAGCATCTGTTCTTCCTGGCTGTGTTTCCTGAGCTTGGCTGACTCCACTACATTTCGAAGCTTATAATGCTGTTATCAGGAACTTGAAAGAAACTCTGGACTGATCAGATTGTTGAGATTAAAAACAAACTTTTGGTTACCCTGAAAAGTTACACTCATGTAAATACTTTCAGCTCTTGTATATATTGGGGTATTTCACTGACTGGTAGAGGACGACTGACTATTTCTGACTTTTCTTTCAGCAATTGCACTTGGAATGCTTTTATCTAACCATCTCAATGTACTTTACAAAGACAGATAGCAAAGATGGAGAGAGAGCTTTACAAAAAAGTAGGGAAATTTTTGGTTGACATTTGAGGAAGAGGATCAAGCAGAGAGAGGGACAATATTTCAATTGAAATATTGATTTTTTTTCCCATCCCCACCCTGAACCTGGTGGGACCAGTAAACTGCATTATCTCCATCTGCACAAGAAGGGAGATAGAGGTAGATTTTCAAGCCAAACTTTCCAAATTGTGGCAATGCTTAGATCTTCCAAAGGCTTCCCTTCCAGAAGCTGATTAGTTGTAATTATCTGGGTGCAGAAGATGAGTAGACTCCCTGTAACCTTCCTCTGTTTACACAGGTGGTGCCTGCTCAGGCATTTTTTCTTTCTAAAGGTGGGAATCATCACTGCCCTTTAAAAATTAGCTGTCCAGGCTCCCCGTGCAGTCTGTGGATAAAGCTGGGTCCTTCCAGAGGGTAACTCTACTTTGGCCCCCTCTATCAGCGTGTTGCTAGGTGATTACTTTAGACTAAGGTGACCAACTCTGAGATGGCTGAAGCTAGGAGAGAAACACTGTATCTCCAGTTTTGACCCACTCACACTGCCCATCCTGTTTAGGGGTCTAAGATATAATGTGTCCCTGCAGGATTAGGTACTGGGCTGTCCTTGGCAATTCTGTGGTCTGGCAGTCAAACAGAAGCTTCTTCCAAAGTGTGCAGGTGAACTTGCATGAACTCTGTCTGGTATCTTGCGGAGGGCAGCAAAGCACAGTTCCTGGTCAGAAGCTCCCTGCATAGCACCTTCCTGCAGCCTAGATGAGGCTTATACCAACTCTCCATCTCAACTCTCTCTCAACATTCCTCCTCCTTCTTCCCATCATTATCCACACCCCACTTGCTGTTGAACAGAGGGACCCCGAGGTGCCTCTGAAACTCTGGGCTTTCCAGTGGTGTGAATCACTGAGGAGTTCATTGATTTGGTGTAGTCTGTTAGCAGCAGAAAATGTGCTCTGGTGAGTGTTTGCTGGTGTCTTGCTGTTTCTGTTGCCATACACTTTTCCTACATACTGTGCAGCAGGTACCTACTCAGTACAGAGAGATCAACATCAGCGGATCTCTAATCTAGAGGAATAACGTGAGAGAGAATCTCCCAGTGGTGCCAGATTTCTCCTAAACAGCTGGGAGGAATAAGAAAGCAAGTGTCTCTTGGTAATTGCCCTTGTCCTCCACCTCTAATCTTACAACAGCGTACTCCTTTACAGCAGGGTATTCTGATGAGCTATGGGACATGTGAGAGGGAAGGCTGGCAGGTGCTCCCTAGCTCACACACCAGTGAAGGCAAAGGAGGAAGCTTGGAACTGGCAACTACAGAGGCAGGGGCAACGGTGGAGGGCAAGGAAGAGTTATCTCTTGGCATAGTAGGTGTACTTTGAAGCAGGGAGTTGGGAAAGGGCAAGAGTCTCTTCAGTGAGGTGTCCATAATCCTGGGAAACAGTGGAGGGGAGGCCATTGTGCAGAGGTCATACCGCAACAGATAAGCACAGAATGTTACTGCCTGGGGATTTCAAGGAGAGAAGATCTGATTTCCGCTCTATGATTACAGCTACTGCTTCATGGTATTAACTCCTCCTCAGCTTTTTGCAAGGGGAGCTTCTGCCAGATGAGAGTTAGATGGCTCTGGATTGTACACATGTGAACACTGGGTTGTAGTAGCTGGTGAGAGCATTGCAGGCTCCGCTGGGTGCATCAGGCAGCCTTGTATCATCCTCCCCATCATTGCTATGTTCTTCTGACCTCTTGCCTATTAAAACCAGCTGCAAAAACAGCCCTCCTTTAGTAGCAACCCTTCAGTCAGGACTAGAAGCCATGGCAAAGTGAGCCTCCCTCTGGTATTTTGTCTTGAAGTTCTACGTGCTGCAGAAGGGATCGATTGTTCTGGGCTTTGCAATGGCCCTGCCCTCCAAAAAGCATAACTACTAGCACCCAGATTTGGAGGAGAGCCATCAGCAATACGTGAGCATAACAGGATACTTGAAACACAGCATATAGCAACCTGAGCTGTTTGCTGGGTTACTTGCCCAAGAATTACAGTGTCAGTTGATTTTGACATTAAGTCTAGATATTGTAGGAATTTTTTACTTCCTTTGCAAAGCATTTCTATAATAGCTTTAAGGTCCATCAGTGTTGTCAAGTTGTCTCCTTTTCCTCATCAGTGCCATGGCCTAGCCAAAACATCCTCATAATATCTAGGCTGTTGACCGACTGGGCACCCAGACCCAAATGCTAACTGGTTCATCTATGTGACAGAAACAAGTGATGGGAAAATCCCAGGATCCTGGAGTGCGTAATCCAATAACTTGCTGAGCTCAACTGTGCCCTGCTGGAGGGGAACAGTCCAGCCTCACCTGGGAGATCCCAAGTCCACAGATTCATTTCTATTTTTTGTTCTACACCAACAGCCAGAATGGCCCCAGTTCTTCCCATCAGAGATGGAAAGTACAGACCTTTCCTAGAAGAACATGCAGTTCACGGTTAGGACATAGTTTTGTTTCCTAGAAAGCTGCACAACCAAAGCAGACCTTCAGAAAAAACGTACACATGGAGTCCGGTAGATATACACTGACGGAGCAGACCCAGAGGACAACACTGTAGAATACAGACAGATATTAACTGAGAAGCTGTCAAAAGGACACTTACAAATTGAAATGTCAGTAGAGCAGCTAGGATCATGAAGAAGAGCTAGCTATGAAGGCTGCAGAGATATAAAGAGCTTTTAGTGTAGTGCCGCTAACAGTCTTGAATTTGATGAGAGGAGAGATGAGTGGGTAGGGAAGAGAGAGATGACCAAGTCAAGCAGCAAGGAGTGTGATTTTTTGCTATGATGCTTTCTGTGGATTGGAGAGGAATTGTGGAAGAGTTTCAGGTTTTGAGAAGTATCTGGCTGCATAGAGATGCAGGGCAAAGAACGGCAGGGAAATCATGAACATAATATGCTTTTGAAGATTCTACTGCTGAATTTTGTGTTCTAAATGCTTCTGAATGTCTAGCCCTACAATCTAGCTAAAACTCAAACCCCTCTATCACTAATATAGGAAGACAGTGCTTTGGAGATGCTGCCCATAAACTGATTTTAAATTTCCCCAGTGGTTGTGGTTTACTTGCGGTTTATTTTCAACCTTTCCCCTCCAGCTTGGATTCACTGTTCCTTGGTGAAATGGAAGTGACAGCCTATTTCTTATCTCCCTTCTTACAGAAGTGGAAGATGAAAGGCGGTTTCATTCAACACTTTGTCAGCGGTCTCTGCCTGGAAAACCAAGCTGGAAGAGTGGTGACCAACCCTTGCCAAGCAGATGTGCCTGGACAACAGTGGGAGTTGCTACAAGCCACATGATGGTAGCACAGAGATGTCCTTGCTTCTTTGTGCATGAGACTTTGGGAACGGAGGGGGATTAGGAAGGGAAGAATGGTTTAGTATGTCTAACCCTAAATATTTTCATCATGCCCATTAGCAAGCCACCATTGCAGCTGAGCACTTGCTGTTTTTGAGCTTTTCAAAGAAGCAGCTGGGGGTGAGAGAGGGTGAGGAGTGTTAATGAAATCGGCCCATCCGATTTCAGTGCTCCTCTGTAACTGATGTCTGCGCACAATAGCACGCAGAGAAAGGAAAGGATCCACTTCAATGCTCAGAGTGACCAGAACTGTCCTGCAGCTCTCCTCATCCATTCCTTTCTCTGCATCCAAAGCCCATGACCTTCAATCCAATAATTTAGACGATGATTGTAAAAGTACTTGGTAGCTCTTTAGCTTCCCTGGCTTTTTGCTCTACCGTCATGCATCATTCATGCATGTGTGTGCTGGTGTGTTGCAGTAAGGAGTGGCCAATAGAAGAGTCATCATGATTAGTGGAGGTGCTAGGAAGGGATTAGCAGACCCCTGAGGCAGAACTGTAACTTCTTTGTGGTAGGCCTGTTCCTTCCTCTACCTGCAGCCTAAGGGGCCAAGGTTGGGAAATGGGGCCCAACTCTGACAAAACAGCTGGGAAAGGGACGATCTATTTTGGCAGCACAACCAGAGTTTGTTTGGGGGGGCTACTCCCTACTGAGTTCCTACTCCCTGTTTTCTATGGGTGGAAGGCCAGCACTGCCTCAGTGAGAAAACTCCTAGCCCGCCCAGCTGGACCCTGCCCAAGGCTGGGTTCAGGGTACCAAATTCCTGTGGAAGAGAACTTCTATGTGAGGGAGCCTCCACACAGGGACCTTGCAGCCAGCCTGGCCTGCAGTGTGTGCTCGTCACCCCTGCTGCTCCGCTGGTCTGTCACCAACTGGCCTGACCGTCAGGAAAGGAATGCCTAAGCCTTGGGATGCGGGGGTTGCTGGGGCCACTCTCCAGCTGCTCTACATGATGCTGCCAGACACTACCTATTACATCCCACCCTTACAGTGATGCAAAGAGCTGCTCTGGCAGAGTGTGCTGACAGTGCTGCTGTATTCAGAGCTGACAAGTGGAGAGAGGTGCTGGCCTGAGGAAGGAGCACATCTGACCTCCCCCTTGCATGGAGGAATGCAGGGGCAGCCCCTGCACCATCACAGGGTTCCCGCTACTGGCCAGGCTGAAGCATAGCCCCCTCACTGACTCCACACCAGAGAGTGGCCTGCGTGAACATGGCCAATGTGACAAGCCACCTGATCCTTCTGCTTAGTTGCTTCAAAGGCAGGAGGCTAAAAGGCCTGGGGCTGCTCCGCTTGTGATGCTCAGCTCTCCTCCCTGGGATCAGCTTGAGAAGGTTAGTTGGTGAAGCTGAAACTGCCATTCGCCTCTCCTAGAGATGAGTATTTGTACACTGAACAAATACTGCCAAGGTATAGGTCTGCCCTGATGGATGATGTCTCCTTTGTGTTCTGGGGATATCAAGGATGACTGGTGTGTCTAGCTAACATCCCATTTCTGCTTCCAGTGACCAGCTAGCTGAGGCTGACTTTGGGTTTTCAAACCTGGCAAGGGAAGTTCACCTATTTGAAGAAAAAAAAATCCCCAAAATCTTAACTTCTCCTACTATATCTGTTGAACTTCCCTGTTGGAGCTGGGTCTTGCAAACCAGCACCACTCCCAAAGAGCCTAGCAAAGGGTCCATACAGTTTGGCTACCTTCAGTAGACAATTGCTTGCCTGAGACCCTTCTAATCTGGTGTAAAAGAGGGAGAGGATGCTCATTTGGATTCTGAACAACTGTCTGCTTTTGACTATGGTTGTATTGCTTTTTAGTGCTTTCTCCCAGCTTGTTATTAGCCCAAACAGTTAACAAAAGAACGGACGCCATTCTTCGGATGAGTATTTGTATGTGCTGAGAACGGGGAGATTTGTTTTCTGTTCTTGGCTCTTTTTTTTTAATTTAAAAAGTTAGGTCTTTTATCCAGTCAGGTGGCAGGAGCTCTTTTCCTGTTCCGCCTTCACTTTGACAGTGGCTCACCATCTTGACGCTCTGATTAACCAAATGAACAACTGGCCAGCCCAGTGAAAACTCAGGAGGCCGTTCCCTTTGTTCCTGTGCTTACACCCTGGAGCAGCTACACTCGTCTGTGGGAAAGGCAGCACTGACCCTGCAGAGACTTATCTTTCCCTTTAGAGATGCATAGAGAGGCTTCGACCGCTGACACCACAGCTTAGAGAAAAAGGAAAGAGCAGAGAATGAAAGAAATTAGCCTAGGAAAAGGAAGAGGGCAGGGCAGACAGACCCCCTCAGGGAGGGAGAGATGCCATCCTACCGGTCATTACTGTTTTTTTAGACAAGAAGATGCAGGAGATGCTATTCTTCCTCATTAGGTCAGATTCTCACAGACCTTGCTAGAAAAAAGTTGAAGCAAAGACAGACAAAAGGCCAGTGAGCAGGTACTGTATATAATCTCTATATACAATAAAATGCTTAAGGATTACATGTTTTCATCAAAATGCATCCAAGCTTCTCCCATTTCACTCCCCATCAGGTCAAGGGTTGCAGCTAACAGCCTGTTCACTCCTCCACCAGGTACTGCTTCCTTCCTTCTTGCTCCATCTGTGTATGTGCAGCTTTCTTGCAATTCCTTCTTCATAATCGTAATGGGACTAGGACCCAGCTCCTCTACAAACATTTCTCCTAACTGCTGTAGACAACAGGAACTCTGGTTAGATACAGTCTCCAAGCTCTGGGTCAGCCTTGGGTCAAAAGGCTCTTGTTAGCGCACTGGCTACTGCCCTTGACTTTGTGCCTGATTTCTATGTTGGAGGTTACTGACTGCTCCCATGGCAGAGGTACCTAGACTAATATATGTATATTTTTGCCTCTGTCAGCACTGTTTACTGCCTGGCATCCATCTGGGGCTGTGAGCTGGGGCAGCTGAAGGTTAGACTCCCTCCTTGTTCAGATGCCCTAGCCTGGGGGAGAGAAGGGAAAGGGAGGGTAGATGCTAGAGGTCAGAAACTTAAACTGCCCCTTACAGTTAAGGGCTACCAGAGCTCTATCCAGTTCTGGACATATCATGCTGAGGTGACCTCCCCACTGCTGTACTCTACAGGCAGCCAAAGCACTGCTCACCAGACCTTCCTGTAGGGCCAGTGCAGACCTCCGCACACATCTTCATATCGAGGCCATGGGTTCCCTCTGGGTTTTAGCAACTGCTGAAAAGAAGTGGCATTACAAAAGGCTGCTTTCAAATATGGGCAAACTAAACTGCTTTGGAACAGGGCTCCAGAGGGATTCCTTGAAAGAAAACTGCCTGAGCCCTCAAATTTGGCCCAAAGCGCTTTGTTTCTTTAACACTCAGAACAAGGAGCTGCTCATCCTTGTTTTCCTTACTTTAAACAGATCCCTAGACTGTGAAGACAGAGCATTCACATTGATAAGGTCTGTTAAGAAAGCTGTTATTATATCAGAACATCCAATGTAATTTCATGTGCTTTGTGGGGACTGATGATTTTTTTTTAAAAGGAGCCAAAACTGCTGTTGTACAGAAATCAGTCTCGAAGGGTTTATCTTCCCCACTCCATTGTAAGTTGCACTTTGCCAGATGTAATTTATGTGGAACCCAGATTTGTTTTCCCTTTTCTTGAAGAAAGCATGTACCAGACTCTGTTTAATGCCTTGAATAAAATCTAATTTGACTAAAGTGTTTCAGTCTGTTCTTTTCCCCCTTTACTTCCTGTTGGAAAAGAGCCTTCATCCTTGCTCTCCTGGTCCCTCGCTGTCTCCAGCTAGGTTTGTATCCTCAGACATATCCCAGTTCTTTGCATTGCAGGAAGGGCATTGGAGGAGCCGGCACAGAGATTTATAGGATGCAATGGCGTTATCAGTTGCAAGTGCTTGAAGAAGCCCTCCTGAGCAGACTGAGAAGGAAGTATTCCTTCTGGCAAAAGTTGAAAAGAGCAGTTAGTGAACTATTTTTTACGTGCTGAAAGATATAGCTGGGGGGTAGGAGGGAGAAGGAAATAATTCTTCCTATAACCCCCTCCTTGATCTTCTCTTCCAGTTTTCAATCTGCCTGTTCCTCACTAGAGCTCCCAGAGGCCTTTCTTCTGCCTCTAGCAGGGAAGCATCACCAGCCTTGGATACCTGCTGGCATGCATGCTGCTGAGCTTCGTCTACAGTGATCTCACCCTCCCACCTCGTGTATAAAGCTCAGCCAACAATGCCAACTGGGGGATCTGAGTTTAAAATTAGGGCTTAACTGCCTGCTATTTCACCCACAGATGCTTTTTCAAACTAGGAGATGCTGGATCTGCCTCTGCAGAAAGCAGCTGTGTTGGAGTGTCTCTCTAGGAAAAGAGGGTTTGGTAGAAGTCAGCTGGTGTGTGAGAGAGATCAGTGTTTCCTCATCCTGCCTTGTAGCATGTCTAGTATTTGAGTGCTAGCGGGCCTTGATAAAAGGGAAAAGAGCTGGGGCTTTCTCTCTTTCTTCTGCTTCCCTAGCAGGACATCAGTGGAGCTTTTTCCCTGGAATCTTGCCATGTACGTCCTGAATGGCAACCTCTGTAGTACCGCAGAAACCAGGAGTTCCTCAGTCTTTAATAATGGCTGGAAGGGCTTTAAGTTGGCCTGTCTAGGAAAATGAAATATTGGTCTTCTGAAGGGCCAAATAGTGGAGGACGAGAGAAGAACAAGAGAGGGGAACATCCCCTCTGAGGAGAGGAGGGTCAGACATGCAGTGACCTAGCACATAAAAGGGGTGGAGAAGGGTTTGGGATAGAAACAGTTGCATCATGGGAGACTGTCAAACACTGTGTGGGGAAAAATTACAGAGGAGACCCTTTTTGCACAAAGTTAAAAATACAGAAGGACCACACCTATAGTGATCATGCAGATCATATTCATGAAATGCTTTGTCTCAAAAAGCAAATCAAGCCTTTCTAAAGTGCCGAAATAGTCCAGTTTAGCACTCAGGAAGCAGAATATTTTCTTAGAAATAGAGATGTTCTCCAGTTTGGGTTCATTAGGGAAGTTAGATGCCAGATCTCCTTTTTCTCACGGCTTATTAAAAAAGACTTGCTTGATACAGAGAGAGACTTTGCACAAGTGTTCCCTCATTCTCAAAAATCTTCTGTCGTTGGGCTGCAGGGTGTTTGGAGGTAGGTAACTCTCATTTCCGCTTGTTGGACCTCTTACAGTTTTATCCTAGCGACAGCAGAGAAGTAGGCTGTCTACTCTTCTGCCCATCTTTTGATTTTCCTAAGTTCATCAACAAACTTACTGTATCCCATATAGTCAGGTTTTAGTTTTGGCTAAAATTGGATCGCAGCTAAGGGTGGGAAAATGCCCATCTGCTTGAACTCGAAAGACTTCCTAGGCTATTTTGGCCTTGTCAGATAAGAGTTTCTTGTTTCAATTGCACTTACTACTCTCCCATCTACCTACTCACATGGATTTTCCATGACTGGTTCATGCCTGTGTTCCAGCACATAATACAGAATTGCAAGCTTGTCGTTTACATGTTACTTCACAGAAATCATTCCAACACTGAAGAACATTTTCTGTGCAGACTGGCAGAAAATTATTAAAAGAAGAAAAACCATATACAATAATTAGGATTGGAAGGAATTAGGGTTTGAATCTCTTTACATAACAAAACATGCTGTATGATTATAACAATCTCCATTTTGTTTTAATTTGCATCTGCTTTATGCAACTTTAGCAGAATAGCTTAAAGCTTGGTAGGACTCTGGCACACCTTTTCACACTGAGCAGAACTGTCTTTTGTGAGCACCACAGCCACTCAGAGTATGAAGTGATTCTGATAACACACCAGATTCTCACTTAGATTGGAGGAATGTTAAGACATTAGTCGAGGAAAATTTCACTGATCCGACCTTCACCAGCTGCATGCCTTGTTGTGGATGTCTTAAAGGCAGCATGCTTCTCCTGCTGACTCTGAAATAATTAGGAGATTAATTAGAACAAATGCTATGTGAGTAGGTGGCAAAACTGCTGCAAAATTCAGGCCACCTCTCAGAACAGCATATTAGCTGATGCATTATACAGTTGCACATACAGCTGGATAAAACTGGTTTGGCCTAGAGAGTTAGGGTGTTTTCCCCTGAAACTGGACTACACAAAGAACAAGGCAAAGGTATATTGATATGTGGCCACTGCAGTCACCTCCAGGGGTTTCTACCTACTACCCAACCATCTAAGTGAGAACTCTTTTCCCTCACAAGAAGACTTCCCTGCAGGTTAGTGACTATATGGGCATATTAATATGCATGTGTTACCAGGAATTGTCTGCTACAAAGGAAGTTCAAGTGCAAGTGTTGCATGAAAATGGACTCAGAGTAGCGCAGAACTCCCCCTGGTTACAGTGTGTGAGCGGCACACTTGTTAAATCACAGGAGCTGCTAACTAAGCACATGGAGAAAACCTGGCTCTGCAGGCTCCTGCAACGCTGTTCCCTCAAAAGGCCAACGCTATGCAGGTTAGGAGGAAAAGCAGAGAACCACAATTACAAGCCCAATTATCCACCCCCAGCAGCTCCTTTCTCTATGACACCTGCAGCTCCCAGCGTCAATATTACATTTTAAATTCAGCAACTGAAACTCCAGTTAAGGGCCAAAAGCCAGTCCCATTCCCTCTTGTACTCCTTAATAGCAGTCCAGACTGTGAGCCTCTCTTAATCTCTTTATCAGCGCCAACTAGCAGGTAGACTATTTGCAGAAAGGTCAAGGTTTCACGTGCAAAGCTGAAGAGAAGCTGGGAGAACTTTCTTTACTCTCTTGTCATGTGCCCAGTCCTCCTTCACAGAGTACTATTGCAATGTCATTTGGCTGGAAGTTTTGCCAGCTTTACTATAAATAGAATAACACATTGGCATTCATTGCAGAAGATGCTTTCTCTTAAGGTAGCCCTATATCTGATTTCTGAGTAAAAGACTTGACATTCAGGAAGGCAGATCAGGCGTAACGAGACTTGTGAACTTAAATGCTCTGCATTTTTTTTCATATATTTTGGCAAAAACAGTAACATTACCTAACTCTTACTTGTATCTGATGTCTAGTGCAAAGGGAGTCTTTGCTTTCATTTGCAGAAGAGGCACACGGAATTATTAGGGCCAGAAATAGCTTCTGGTAAATTATTAGCTCTGTGCTTTGTACCATTGCATGACACCTGCTCCTGCCAGAGATAGTGTCCACTACTTGTTGCAGGCTCACCCTTAACTGAATGGTATAATGCCTGGGAGATTCAAGCTCTTGACATAGCTGTAGATGTTGTTTTAACCAGCCACACAGAGTCATAATCCCATGGGAAGGGTCTTATCACACATGCTGTACTTTCATTAGAAAGAATGAGCTACTAATAACGGTACAAATGATGGGCTGCATCAGAACTACCTCCCCTGACATGTCTGAGGGTCGAGCCTGATGTCTTCTAAAGTTTATTTCATGTTTCCTTTTTACTATAAGTTACCAGAACATGTTGGCGTATGAAAACAATTCTTACTGTGACACAGAGTGATGATGCTTTGTTACTGCTACTCAGCTTAGCACACTAACAGCTCATTAAATACAACGCACTGATGGGCATGGCTTATCCTTTCATTGCTAAAAACGCCAATGAATTGTGTTCCTCCAAATTAGTCAACTGCCTTCTTTGAATCCCTGAGAGTCTCTAAAAAGAGGTACCACTATGTGCTGTGCCTTCTTTGATATCTGCTGGTTTTGGAGCCTGTGTGAAACAGGCAGCTGTGGTATGTTTTGTTGTCACACCATTACTGTGTTCCTCCAAGTGACATTGTTGCTGCATCACCATTGCACTCTCAGTGCATATGAGCCAAGATCCAATCTAGGCAAGAACACTGAAAATGATTGAATTAGTTCATTCCAAGTTTAAGTAATCAATACTATTTTTGCCTGAAATTCCTTCAGCAACAGAGATGGATATTGAGATCTTTCTGGATGGGAAATTAAAAATTTTCATCTTCTTACTTCTTTTCCAAAGATGGGCTAGGAGAACGCTATTTTCTCCCTTGAATAAACAATCAATATCGAGTTCAAAATATTTTTTTTGAAAGCAGTGCATCAAAAAGTTCTGATATTAGAGAGAGGGCTGAGAAAAGGGAACTCTGACCTGCCTCTGCCACTGTTTTGCTGTGGGGCCCTGGACAAGTTTCTTGTCTTTTCCCTGTCTTAGCCTAAAATTAGGATAAAATTTCTGGACTACCATGAGATTAGGACATACATATTAATCAGCATCTCACATGCCCAACCAATATCCAGCCTGACCAGCATTCTCTACCTATTTTGATGAATCAGGCTTGTCTCCCTGCAGACAAATTTACTGCTAAATAATTCATCTGGACGACATTACTTAAACTGCCCTATCTGCTGTTATTCAGTAGGCTGACACAATCAACCACAGATGGCCAAATTTGACCCTGCTATCTTAAGCTGAGGCCTCTGAAAAATTTAAAGAAAAACACATAAGTGCAAGTGTGTGGAAGCATTGCCTTTCATCCCCCTACCATGGATTTCCTTTCTGTGAAATAGGAATAATGAAACTAACAGATGTACAGTAATGCACAGAGCGATCTAAAGACTTACCTAATAGCATTTTATTTATTAAAATATCACTGCATGTAGAAGAGCACTATACAACTTCTGCTGTTTCTCCTC